AAACACGATCACCATTTGCCACCATGACGGAGAGACCGGCATGCAGGGTGACCGGCAAGCCCAAGTAGCCCACCACCTTGGAGTGAATGAAGGTGTGCATAGAGCTGGTGTCCACAAGGACCCTCCGCTGTACAGCGCCAACAGTAACCTGCAACATCATTGAATTCATAGGCCCAAGGCCGGTCAACCCCTATAAGGAGATCTCCACGTTAGGGATGATGTCGCCGATCGTGTCCTCCTCGCCTTCCTCAAGTCCAACAGAAAGACCCCCTTAGCGGCACACTTGTGGTCCTTGGAGTATGGTTCCAGACAAAAATAGCATTCTCCGTTCTGGCGCTTCTCCTGCATTTCAGCCTGTGTGTCAGGCGATGGGAGCGGGGCCATGGCCCCTCGGGCTTGCTGTCCGACAGGGCGGCTGAGTTGGCCGTGGTAGAGGAGTGATGGCTAGATGGCTTGGGCGTCGAGGCATTGCTGGTGGAGGCCGCCTCGCGCTGCTCATATGCATGCGCCAAGCTCATCGCCGTCTGAAGGTTGGTCGGGTGCTACAGCTCGATGTTGTGTGCTCGTGGCTAGCCCGGACCACCAGTGAAGAGGTCGATCTTATGCTACATCCATAGTTGGTCATGCAGCCCGAGCCCGTTGGCCCGGCCCAAGGCCCGTTTTTTTGGCCAGGCCCAAGCACGGCCTGGCACGGAGGCTAGCGGGCCTAGGCTGGCCTGGCCCTAAGGAGCAGGCCATGCCTAGGCCTTACCCTAGGCACGTGGGCCGGCATGGCATGGCCTGCTACAGTCGAGCCGGCCCGCTAGCGGCCCACCCTGCTAACCCCACGCGGCCGTGCCCCCAGGCCAGGGCGACATTTAGCCCAGCTCCCCCGCTCACCCTCACCGCCCGGCCACCCCGAACCCTAAATCCTACCCACTCCCTCTTGCCTCTCGCCTCTTCCCCACACGGCGACGTCTCCCTCCCGCTCGCAGCCCAGCTCCCCGCCTCACCCTCACCGGCTCACCCGAACCCTAAATCCTACCCGCTCCCTCTCGCCTCTTCACTACGTGGCGGCGTCTCCCTCGCGCATGGCCATCTCCCTCCCGCGCGCAGCCATCTCCCGCGAGCAGCGATAGCCAAATTCAAGCACACCGGCAACCGAATCTATGCCTCCCCGCGCGGCCCCACCTCCAGGGTGAGCGCGCTGGCGACTGGATCTGCCTCTGGGGTGAGCGCGCCGGCCGTCTCCCTCCCGCGTGCAGCCGACTTCCTCCCGCACGCCGGTCGTCTCCCTCCCGTGCCGGCCGTCTCCCTCCCGCGCGCAACCGTCTTCCTCCCACGCGCTGGTGGCCGGATCTACCTCTAGGGCGAGCGCGCCTACGGCGGCGGCCACCTCCTGTGGCTGCCCTGCCTCCTGCTCTCCCCTTCCCTCTCTCGTGGGCCTCGGGCTGGCCCAACATGCTGGATTGGGCCATGCTTTTTGGGCTGGCCCAGCCCGAAAAACGGCCCAGCAGGCTATGCCTGGGCCGTCGGCTAGGCCCATGGCCCTTTTAGGCACGGCCTGGTGCCCCGGCGTGCCATGCCTGGTCCGTTAGCGCCGAGTCGTGCTTTTCATGGGCCCGTGCTGTGCCATGCTAGGCCGGCCCGTTGGCCATCTATAGCTGTGTTGTCAGCTCCTCGCAGCGGGGCAACAGCGCCAAGAAACACCGCTAGTACTCCTCCACTGTGCCGGTCGGATGGAGCACCTTGATCTCACCGAGGGAGATGGCTTGGATGGGCAGGCCAAAGCACAAATTGACGAAGTGACGAAGTGTGGCCAAGAGATTAGACCAAAGCCACGCTCCATCTGGTAGTACCAATCGGCGGTGACGCCGCCGAGGTGTAGAGACGCCATCCACACCTTCTCCTCTTCCAACTTGCGGTGGCTCCGGAAGTAGTTGTCGCACTTGTTAAGCCACGTCAGAGGATTAGACCCCCTAGTAAACGTAGGCAAGGGGATCTTCGGTGGCCCACGTGCATCATGGTCGTCGCGGTAACGGCCGCCATTGTGGAAGTCACGTCCGCCGCGGGGTGTCACGACCGTAGCGGTCATCACACCTGTGTCGATCGTCGTGGTCGTAGCCATCATGCTAGGGCCCGTCGCAACCGAAGGACTCGGCGCGGTCAAGGCTGTAGGAGTCGCAACCGTCGTGGCCATAGGAGGCACGGCCATCGCGGCTGTAGGAGGCGCGCTCGTAGGGCCCGTCGTGTCCTGGGTACAGAGCATGCGTATCACGATCTCAGCCCTCAGTGTAGTCGAAGTAGTGGTCGCGGTCATGGAACGCACGGTGGCGAAACATGTCCCAGGCGCTGCCGCGACCGAAATCACCACCAACATCGTCGTCGTGGTCGTGGTTGTCTTCACCGCCACTTCCATAGCCAGAGTCGCGCTTCGATTGATCTCCTGGAACTCCACCGTCGTCGCTGTCTTTCGGAACTTCTTTGATTTCTTGTGTACATCATAACTCAAGCCAGATTCTTCGCAGTTATTTTGAAGGTATTAATAGAAGCTAGCCACCCCCACCTCAAAATTGTTTATGTACATACTCAAATCTTTCTAAATCTCTTTTTATATCACAACTATCAACTTATGGTTTGTAGTAATTAATTCAAAGTGTTGAACTAATGTGCATTTGGGTCTATGGAAAATAAATTTATTGTTTCCCAAATATTGATATTAAACATCATAAATATTCACATAAGGTTCTGTTGCATTTATCAAATAATCCTCAACTATATTTGCCTCATGCAACAAAATAGTCTCAAAATTTTCTAAACATATGAAAGAACTAATTGTGGCTAAATCGAACTTAGTGTTTATCCTACCTCGGAGATCCCTCTCACAATTGGGAAAAGGTATTCAATTTGTTAGATTTTGAGCTAGCTGCCCTTTTCTTTCTCCTTGCCATTAGCGCAGCTCCATTATTTTTTTTAGAATTGTTTACCCAACCCTACTTCTATGTTTTTTTCTAATATTTCATAGGTTTCAATAGATGAAGGCCAACCATGACAATGTCACATCCGTCCCAATTTAGAATTTGGTCTGTAGTGGCCTATGTGTATGTTAATGAGATATTGTGAGGGTTAGTCCCACCTTGGTGGTTAAACATGGGTTAGACCAACATATAAGGCTTATAAAGTCCATCTCACCAACCCTGGGTAAATCTTTTTACACGAAACGAGGACGAAAGCGTAATATAGAGTCCATCCTACGTCATTCCTGGGTAAATCTTTTTACGTGAAGCGAGGACGAAAGCATAAGTGGGATGGTGGTAGGTGTGGTTACGCGAAGCGAGGGCGAAAGCATAAGTGGAATGATGGTAGGTGTGGTTCACTCAGCGTATAGAGTGGGACGGTGGTAGGTGTGGTTACGCGAAGCGAGGACGAAAGCGTAAGTGGAATGATGGTAGGTGTGGTTCACTCAGGGGGTGATTGGTTGCATGCAGGAGGCCATCCTAAGCCCCATCCCAGCACCGCTCGGTGCATTTGGCCATGTTTGGATGCCTGCCTCGCATCCTTTTCCTGCTCCGTCTCATTCATCTTCACCCCTCCGTCCCGCATGGATCCGTCTTCTTGATTTCTACTTCCCTCGCGATGCAGGACGACGGGATGCACCCATGATATAGAGGCCCATGTGTCATACACTCAAAACTCCCATCCATGCATGCAACCAAACAAGATCTCATCTTGTACTGGACCAACAACAAAGACAACCAAACAAGACTGGGTGCACGGTTTAAACATGCATCTAACCATCCTGGACCGGCTCTCCATTCCATCTCTCCATCAGCAAGGCAACCAATCACCCCCTCAGCGTATGGAGTGGGACAGTGGTAGGTGTGGTTACGCGAAGCAAGGACGAAAACATAAATGTGATAGTGGTAGGTGTGGTTCACTCAGGGGCTGATTGGTAGGCTAAACCGGGACGTGCCCGCACCGTTTAGTTGTCTGACCTCATTCATGCGGTGTGTTTGGTTGCCCTCCTCGCACCTTTCGCCTGTATCCTTTCATTCATCTGCCCTCCTCCATCCCGCATGACTTTGTCTTCTCAATTTCCACTTCCCTCTCCATGCAGGATGCCTTGATTCAGGCATGGCGCAGGGACCCATGTATCATACACTCAAAACTTACATCCATACATGCAACCAAACAAGATGTCATCTCATACTTGACCAACAACAAAGACAACCAAACATGACTAAGTGCACAATTTAAACATGCATCTCATCATCCTGAACTGGCTCTCCATCCCGACTCCACCTCACCAAAACAACCAATCACCCCCATCAGCGTATGGAGTAGATCTTGAGCGACTATGGGCGTTACAGACAATCAACGATCTTCTATAAAAGAAAAATATATACACGTGTAGATGTACGGCATTGGTTTACTGTTACCCTGTAGGGCTTTGTCTTTCACCTCCTTTCCATCCTCCTCTGTGGCCCATATGTCAGAGACTTACTCTCTAGAAACTTCACACTCCCGCACATTGCTGCCTTCGTCCCATTCCCTTCCGATGCCTCCACCGCCGTGTCGCACGTCCTCCCTTCCCTCGCCGTCTTTAGGTCCAGGGACGGACCCACAGGGTATGCAGGGTGGGCCACCACATACCCTGGGGTCCGCCAGTCATAGAGATAGGTAGAAATTTTCAATGTAAAAAAAATAAAAAAGGAAACGATCGGCGCTTTGGCTTCCGTCCTAGACTCTCGATTCCACGATCTCGCTAGCACCTAGCAGGCGCGGACTCCGTGGACGAACTAACTGTTGGGCGGCGCTGTGACACATCTCGAATTCTCGATCGAGGACGAGGAGAACTGGAGTCTAGAGAAGCCGAGAAGACGACTAGACTGGAGAGTTGGAGACAGCGACGGCCGACGCCGATCCGCGGGATTTCCTGGCCGCGAGTCCACGACGATCTGCTCCTGCCTGGCTCCTTCAGGGCAACGCCGCGACAGGAAAGGAGAAGCCGTGAGCCCGCGATGATCCGGCGAGGTGGCGACGGCGATCTGCTCGGCTCCTCAGGGCGATGCGCGAGGTTCAGAACTCTAGCAAGTTCATTAGCACCAGTCGGTAAGTTCCAAAGTCCAAACATCAGTCAATAACTCAATATCGCATGTGACTATACTATTTGAGTTCCAAAGTCCAAACATTGTTGGGGTTTCTTGCAAGCGTCATGGTATGCTTCGAAATGCTAGGCTGGAGAATGTCAAGAAATCACTACACTGTGGTGAGCTTGAATCAGGGAGTGATTTAAATCAAGAGATGGGTTTGCCTAGGCCTGGTGACACTCGGTGGGGCTCGCATTACAAAACTATATGTAGCATCATCACTATGTATTCCTCAATCCATGATGTGCTCATTGAGCTTGGTGCTGATATTGCATATAAGGATGATTGGACAAAGATTCATTTTGTGCTTGGAGCATTTGAAACCTTTGAGTTTGTTTTCTTTGTGCACTTAATGCATGTTATTCTTGGATACACAAATGAGTTATCCGAGTGTTTGCAGAGAAGGATCAAGATATTCTTAATGCAATCTCACTTGTTAATGTGGCAAAGAGCAGAATGCAACAGTTGAGGTCTGATGGTTGGGATAAATTTCATAAGACGGTCACTTCTTTTTGTATTACACATGGTGTCGAAGTTCCTGCTATGGATGATGCTTATGTGCCTTATGGAAAATCAGCAAGGTATGCCTGTGCCCGAAACCAAAAAAATGATGACCATTTTAGAAGAGAAGTGTGCATTGGTGTCATTGATCAAATTAGTCAAGAGCTTGATAATCGGTTTGATGAGATCAATATGGAGCTACTTTCTTGTATGTCAGCCTTTAGTCCTTCCAAGTCCTTTGCTTCATTTGATGCACAGAAGCTGCGTAGATTGACTGATTTTTATCCTAATGACTTCTCCAACAACAATTTGGTACAACTAGAATTGCAACTTGATAATTATATTGATGACATGAAATGAACTGAATGCTTCCAAGGTCTAGACAATATTGTTGATCTCTCAGTTAAGCTTATTGATACAAATAGGCACAAAGTGTATGATATGGTGTACTCGCTTCTCAAATTGGTATTGCTTTTACCGGTGGCAACTACGAGCGTTGAAAGGGTATTTTCTGCGTTGAAAGGTCCGTCACTGTTCAGGCCTCTGCGCCGCTGTCCTACGCCTCATCCCTTCCTTCGCCGGCCGCACAGCCACGCCGGAGGTCGCGCCGCCGCCGGCCGGCCACGCCGCCTCCGCCCTTCCCTCGACGGCGCTGCGGCCACGTCCGAGGGTGCCCGGCCACGCCGTCTCCACCCTTCCCTCGCCGGCGCCACGGCCACACCCGAGGTGTTGGGCGCGTCGCGCCTCCTCCCTCTTCGTCCGCTCTGCAGTGCCACGGCGCTTCCTCCCTTCCCTCGCCGTTGCCACAGGCGCGCCCAAGCTGTTCGGTGCGCCATCTTATCCATCTACCACAGCACAGTCCCGGTCGAGGGGCCCAACAATGGGAGGCTTTTACCTGTGTACCCTTAAAAAAGATGCCACACTCCTGCGTACCCCTCAAAAGTTGGTCGTCACCTACATGCCCTCGCTCGAACTTTTCTTTTCCCTCACGCCATTCCGTCGGCATTTGCTCCTAACGGTGGGTAACGGCTCTGAAGAATGACTCAGTTGCCCTTGAGCTTGTATGGGCGTCTCAGCTTTTTCGTTTTTTCCCTGTGCCATTGCCAGGCCTTTGAGGGTGCTTCATGATGCTCTGCACCACGGCATGGGAGCTCCCGACGGAGTACCTGAACCCCTGGAAGCTCAGGCTGAGGCCGTGCATGGCGGCCTTGACGCCCTTGTTGAACCCGCGCGCCAGCTCGTTGAGGACGTCGATGCAGGATGACACATGTTTCGAAACTGCATGACACATGTTACATGAGTTTCGAAACTGTTCATACGCCAAAAACTGCTCATACGCCAAAAACTGCATGACACATGTTACATGAGAAACAGTAAATATATCCACCCCATGGTCACACAGTTTCACAGACTCACCCCCACACATATTCTCCAGTTCCACGACCTTTTTCCTGAGCACCATTGAGACGATAAAATCTAAACTGTCGCTCAACTGCTCTGAACATTTGCTCTTGTCAATCCTTTAGTTGTTGTCTGCAACTACAAGTAGGAAACAGAACAGTTTCGAAAATGATTGTAGAGTATTCTTCAAGTTCTGAGAACACGAGAACTGCAGCGAGCAGGAGAATCGTGTTGTGAACATGTTCATCTGGTGCTAAAACTAAAACTAAAAGGCTTTGGTTCAACTCTACCAGCTGTGAACATGGGCTTCAAGCGCAGCCCGCCGCCGTTCCTCGCCGTGGCCAACAAGACCAACAAGCAGGTCTTCAGAGGTCTCCTGGGAGTAAACTTCGCCTCTGCAGGATCAGGCATTCTCGACACAACAGTAAGCCACTCGTGACCAGAGTTACCGTGCACGTTTACTTTCCTGCACGGGCACTGCAACTGCAAGCAAAGATGACACACGTGGATGACTCTGTTCGTGCAGGGGAGCTCCATCATCCCGCTGAGCAAGCAGGTGGAGCAATTCGCCGCCGTGCAGCGCAACATCTCCTCGCGCGTCGGCAACGGGGCTGCCGCCGACGCCCTGCTGTCGCGGTCCCTGTTCCTCGTCAGCACCGGCGGCAACGACCTGTTCGCCTTCTTCTCGCGGAACAGCACGCCGTCGGACGCCGACAAGCAGCAGTTCGTTGGCAACCTCGTCGCGCTGTACCAGAACCATGTGAAGGTACGTCGCCGCGCCGCCCCGTTCTCTCTGAACCATGCATGACCCGCCGAGAAACCTCGCTGAAACGAAACGTGTGTTGCGGCCGGCCGGCCGGCCGGCGGCGGTTGAATCAGGCTCTGTACGTGCTCGGGGCGAGGAAGTTCGCGGTGATCGATGTCCCGCCGATCCGGTGCTGCCCCTACCCGCGGAGCCTGCACCCGCTGGGCGCCTGCATCGACGTCCTCAACGAGCTGGCGCGCGGGTTCAACAAGGGCGTCAAGGCCGCCATGCACGGCCTCAGCCTGAGCTTCCAGGGGTTCAGGTACTCCGTCGGGAGCTCCCATGCCGTGGTGCAGAGCATCATGAAGCACCCTCAAAGGCCTGGCAATGGCACACGGGAAACGAAAAAGTTCAGACGCCCATACAAGCTCAAGGGCAACTGAGTCATTCTCCAGAGCCGTTACCCACTGTTAGGAGCAAATGCCGACGGAATGGCGTGAGGGAAAAGAAAAGTTCAAGCGAGGGCATGTAGGTGACAACCAACTTTTGAAGGGTACGTAGGAGTGTGGCATCTTTTTTAAGGGTACACAGGTAAAAGCCTCCAACAATGGAGGCAGCCACCGTTCAACGAAGGTATATTTCAGGTTCCATGTCTCTTCTGCTATTGTCTCCTACGTGTTCGACGATATGCCTCATTGGTGTCAGTACTTCGCTGCAGCCTGCTAGGTTTCCGGAGAAGTTTGGGGTTCCAAAATTATTCTTAGGAGTGGCCACTGAGTTGCCTGAAAAGTTTGGGTTTCGTAACTTGGGTTCAAGATATTTAGGTTTCCAAAGTTGATGTCCAAAATTTATCTTTACAAAATTGTACATGATATTTTGGATATCTAATATTTAAGTTTCAACTTCAGGTATTTCTAAACTACCTGGATCAGCAAAACTACCAAAATTTTTAGTGGGCAAAACTGTAGCCACACAAGTATAAGCTATACAAAAAAACTTTTTTACTATCAATTTGGAACAAAAGATATGAGCACTACATCATGGATCAATAGGTCTCAATTACATCGCAATTGACATAAATTACAGTACAATCAATCAATACTAAATAGCATATACTCTTCCACTATAGTACGCTATTTTGGAAGGGCTTCTCCATTAGTAAGTTGAACAGTATATACCATTTTCCTATTCATTTTTTACCATAGTATCAAATGTTTGCGCTACAGTGTACTGTTTGGGAGGTCGGCATACATATGTTATCACCATGTTGTGCTGTATTGCTGAGCTAACAATTAGCTGACTAGGTCTCTTCGGATTCACGTCAGCTAGCTATTTTTTAGTAGCTAATAATAACTATAAGCTAGGTGGATCAAATAGGACCGAACAACTATATATTACCCCTGTACCCAAAAAATGATCTTATAGGTTTAGTCAAAATCAAAGTATTTTTAAGTTTCATAGAAGAAATATAGAAAGAACGTATCAATATCCATGGTATCAAATTAGTACCGTTCTATTTGCTATGTGATATAGTTTCGTATAGTATTCCTTTTTGAGACTTTGACAAGTTAACTCAGTTAGGACAAAGTAACTCAGTAGGTGCTATCTAACCTTAACCTATTTCATCCAAACGAATATAATAGTTGAATTAATAACCTGGAGTCATTTTAACAACTTTATTGAAAAAACATACAAACTTAAGTACGTAACACATTGGTAAGTTACAGAAGCAGCCTAAACCTTATCTCTAAACCTGAAGATGTATTACAACCTGATGTTTCTGTGTTTTGTTAATACAGCCTGTAGTTCTGCTTAATCTATTTATGCACCACTGCCACGACATGCTGACATAGCACTCTTCCTAACTATGCAAGGTGCTTCTTTCAGTGAACGAACGTCACAATCAGAGATACGCATGGGTGACTCTCGGCAACATAGCTTTCCTTCAGGTTTCCATCTTCCATCGCGCCGAAAAATTAAACGCCGCCTTGCATTCACGGTTGACTGCGAGTCCACGCCTTCATCTGCTGATCTTCTTCCTAAAGATAGTACTGTATCAGTTATAGAACACCAAGCACTTCCTACTGAATCAAGCGCTGCTGATTCTGGTGATTCTCTTTATTATGGTTCTCTCACTTTTTTCCTCATTCCAATTGCCTTGCTGCTGCTGTATCATGTGCGGTTGTCCCCTGCCCTGTCCAATTTTTTTTGCCTATTCCTGTGCCTTACCTTTTTGGTCCATCTATTCTTTGTAGTAAAAAATGAATTACCTTTTGTTCCTCCAATTCTTATAACTTTCTTACCGAGCATACCTCAGCTTCTAATTGTTTCGATGGTGGTTAGGGATGCACAAAGCACAGGTCTTATGTTTCTCTTCAAAGACAAGAAGGTAAATTTAAGACAATTATGGGTTCTATTGATTCCCTTATTTCAGTTTCCTTCCTCCTGCTATATCATGTGCAGTTCAAAATTGAATTACCTTTTGCCCCTCTAATTCTTATAATTTCCTTACAGAGCATACCTCAGCTTCTAATTGTTTCAATGGTGCTGAGGGATGCACAGAGCACAGGTCTTATGTTTCTCTTCCAAGACAGGAAGGTAAGTTCAAGACAATTATGGGTTCTATTAATTTCCTTATTTCATTTTTTCCTTCCTCCTGCTATATCATGTGCAGTTGTGCCCTATCCAATTCAGTTCCCTTGCTCCTGTGCGTTCCTCCTTTTCTTCCTATATTTTTCGGAAAACGAATTGATCTATTTTTCTGTTATAATTTTCTTGCAGTCCATGCCTCAAGTTCTAACTGTTTGAATGCTGGTGAGGGGTGCAGAAAGCGCAGGTCATCTGTTCCTCTTCAAAGACAAGAAGGTGAATTTACGAGAACTATGAATGCTCATTATAAGGCTATGTTTGACCCTTCACTCTTTTATTTCCATGTATGTATATCACATTACAGAGCATGATGTGGGCTCTTCTCATTCGGGGTGCAGAAAGCGCAGGTCATCTGTTCCTCTTCAAACACAAGAAGGTGAGTTTACAAGAACTATGAATGCTCATTTTAAGGTTGTGTTTGACCCTTCACTCTTTAATTTCTATGTATGTATATCACATTACAGAGCATGATGCGGGGTCTTCTCATTCATCTTGCCATGTCTGACGACGCAGCTCTTCAAACGTTGTACACAAAGGACGACAACATGTGTTGCAAGCAAATCTTGCACCTGCACCAGCCAATCAACATCGTCGTAAGTTTGTTTGCACTAATATTTTCTACGGCCCGTGTTTCTCTTCTGTTTCTCCAGTAGGACTTCAGTCCATACTTCGATTACAGATTAACATCATATCCATTGTCCAGTGCCTGATACTATAACAGTCCTGGTGAAAAAAACACTGCTATATGATCATGGTGAAAAATGGTGAAAAAAACACTGCTATATGATCATGGCAAAGAGCATTGACAATGGTTTCCACTTATCACTTTTACCATCCAACGATGGACTTATTTTACAGCCTGCCCACATTGAGTTACTAAAAATCATAATAGCCACAGATATATCGCGCATTTTTTTCTACGGTTACTGCCATGCAAACTAAAACATGACACCTCTTCTTAGCCACCATTTTTTACTATACTGCACACATGAATCTTCGTGTCAGACTTTTAGTTCGCTAATTTGCTTAGGACTCTGCCACTCACCTGCTTATATTGAACCTTCCTTTCGGCACAATCTATAGCAAATTCTTATCCTCTTTACAAAAATTATCAATTTTACGTATCCATCGCATATCTATAGAGATTACCTACATTGACTGCAATTTTTTTTTTCAGAATCCACGGTGGACAACAACCTACCAGATGAACAAGAACCTTCCTGCCTTTCTCTTACGTCACAATCTTTTAGCCCTCCTTTTGCCATTCTAATTATATTCTATAGTTCAACAGAAACACTATAGATCTAGCTGGATATGTTCGAATAATCATGACTTCATATCTAAGGGTTTGCTAACACTAAAGGTCCTGAGGTTCCCCCTTGAGGATTATACCATTATGCGGGTTACACCAGGTGCCTCCAGCCCATTCGCTTTTGTTATATCATTATGCGGGTTACACCAGGTGCCTCCAGCCCATTTGCTTTTGTTCTCACATTTCTTACCACTCTGTTTGGTATTGACTGACTTACTACTGATATTTGCTGGACCTTCTTTCATATACTGCTTGGATTTGATAAGGCGTGATCATGTTTACTTTATGATACTTGGTGTTTTAATATCTTAATCAACAAATATGATAAATACAGGAGTATATCCAAATAACATACTATCAACTCCAACTTCTTTCAACCACTCGCGGCAACGCGCGGGGGGCTCACTAGTATTCATGATGGCTACATAATCAAGCACTTCCAGTAACTAATTAAATGTATAGGAATAGGACTCATGTGCAGTTGTATCCGTTAAAATATTTTTGCCCAAATTGAAAAAATATTATAAATATAACTAAAAATTATATTACATTTGTTCACTAACCCTCAACTACATCTGTATCATGTAATAAAATAGTCTCAAAAGTTCCATTATTCTCTCATTCCCAAAATACATGACCTTGTAGGATTCAAATTTTGTCCCAAAATACTTGACCTTATGGCATTCCAATGCACATTTCTCTTTTTCCAATACTTGACCTCAAAAATTCACATGCCAAGACCTATAAGGTCATTTATTTTGGGTCAGAGAGAGTTCATTTCAAAGTATCAAACCTAACCTTACTCCAGCTAAGATTCGTCATAGTGATCTCGAAGCTATCAGTAGAAGTTGGTCAACCCCACCTACAATAATAAATGTTCATTATGGCTTTTATATAATCAAATTATGCTAAGCATCTTTCAATATCCCAATAATTGATATATGGATCCAAAAAATTAATTAAATTTCTAAGACACGTGCTGTTGTGTCCTCTAAAAATGATTTATTATTTTCCAAATATTAGAAAGTATCATAAGTATATCACATAAGATTTTGTTGCATTCATTGGGTAACCCTCAATAATAATTTTCTCATGTATCATAAGTATATCACAAAAGTAGTCCAAGGATTTTTCAAAAATTCAAAGAACCAAAATGAACCTGACTCTAGCCATGATTCTTCATATAATTTTGCTAATAGCAGCTGACCAGCTGCCGCAAGTACCCATTATATTCATGATTGCTTATGTACAGAATCAAATCAAGTATAATCTTTTTCTATATTGCAACTATCAACATATGATTCAGATTGATTAGTTAAATGTATAGAACTCATGTGCATTTTGTGCGTTAAAAAAGATTTATTCTTTCCCAAACATTGCTACAAAATATCAAAAATATTAACAAAGGATTCTATTGCATTCATTGAGTAACCCTCAACTACATTTGTCTCAGGTAATAAAAGAGTTCTCGAAACTTCCACTACATGTGAAGGAACCAAACCCAACCTTAATACAGCTATGATTTGTCATAGTAATTTAAAGCTTTGACCAGAAGACAGCTAAACCCGACATATAATCATCAATATTCATATTGGCATAGTTTCATCAAAAAATATTCATATTGGCATGATCTAAATACTCATATCATGCTAAATCTCTTTCAATATCTTTGTCACAAAAAATCTCTTTCAATATCTCATTATAAACATATTGTTCCCTGTAATTAATTATTTGCCTAGACATCATGTGCATTTGTGTCTAATAGAAAATCATTATTTAACAAATATTCATGCAAAAATATCACAAATATAAACATAGGATTCTATTGCCATCCATTGAGAAACCCTCAACTACATTTGTCTCGGTAATAGAGGAATTCTCGAAACTTCCACTACATTTCAAGGAACCAAACCAAACCTTACTACAGCTATGATTTGTCATACTAATTTAAAGCTTTGAGTAGAAGACAGTTAACCCCGACCAATAATCATCAATATTCATATTGGCTTGATCTAAATACCCAAATCATGCTAAATCTCTTTCAATATCTCATTATAAACATATTGTTCCCTGTAATTAATTATTTGCCTAGATATCATGTGCATTTGTGTCTAGTAGAAAAATATTATTTCCCAAATATTCATGCAAAAATATCACAAATATAAACATAGGATTTTATTGCCATCCATTAACCCTCAACTACATTTGTCTCAGGTAATAAAAGAATTCTCGAAACTTCCACTACATGTGAAGGAACCAAACCCAACCTTACTGCAGCTATGATTTGTCATAGTAATTTAAAGCTTTGACTAGAAGACAGCTAACCCCAACCAATAATCATCAATATTCATATTGGCTTTATCTAAATACCCAAATCATGCTAAATCTCTTTCAATATCTCATTATAATCGTATTGTTCCTTGTAACTAATTATTTGCCTAGATATCATGTGCATTTGTGTCTAGTAGAAAAATATTATTTCCCAAATATTCATGCAAAAAAATCATAAATATAAACATAGGATTCTATTGCCATCCATTAACCCTCAACTACATTTGTCTCAAGTAATAAAATAATTCTCAAAACTTCCACTACATGTCAAGGAACCAAACCCAACCTTACTGCAGCTATGATTTGTCATAGTAATTTGAAGTTTTGACTAGAAGATAGCTAACCCCAACCTATAGTGTCGGGGTCATAACCCCGGGGTATCTCAGGACACCGATTAGTTAGCGGGCCACGCGTCCGACAGTACGCCAGCTGGCGAATGCTAGAACAACCGAGGCCCAGCTGAGCCGAGCACACCAGGCCTGACGCTAAAGCCAGGGTCAACCACGACCTCTTCCTCCTGCCTTAGCCGCACGGCGCTCGAAAGACGCGCGACCTCACCCCGGTCACGACCCCTGAAAGGGACGGGGAGAGGTCGTGCTCTAGCAAGTACACATACTATGGTAGGGGCAGGCACGCCTCACTAACCCCACAAGGACCAAGAGGACAGCAGTCACCTCGGTCTAGTCAGACGCCCGCCCTGCGCCACAAAGATCGGATAAGACAACACCGCCCGAGGTGGTGACGACAGGCATGATGACCATCGGCCAGATACGGCTCAACAAGACGCATGTACGATCTCACCCACTACAGAATCGGATCTACAACAAGGGCCTTGACTTAAAGGCCACCCGGACCGACAAAAAGCCATGACCCCAACGATCAGGATCGTGGCCTTCAACTCCTCAACGATGACCAGGCGATCAACGACCTAAGGGCGGCTACCAACTCTTGTACCGCGCCCCAGGAAACCAGGAGACAACAATAAGGACCATGGCAGAGACCACATCGCACAGGACGGCTGGCGAACCACCACCATGCCTACAGTGCCGCCATGGCAAGCACATTAAGTACCACGCCACATCCTGCCACGACGTGGCCACAATACGATGATGACCGCCATGACCAGACGTACTCCACAAGATGGCGTAGGTTGCAAGCCAAGTTATCTAGGACCTCCCTCAGGCTCACGACCCGTCGGTCTAGAAAACCACCTTCGTTGTATGCGCCCTAGCCCCGAACTCTATATAAGAGCAGTTAGGGCACCCTTTCAACACATTCTGAGTCCCCTACTCATTCACTCATTCTCCATCATACTCCTGAAGCTTCCCTTCGGACAACCCATCGCCTAGCTTAGGTTCTCCTACCTCTTCCACCATTCTTGCACCCCCATTGTAAGAACTTTAGAGCATTCAAGCGAGGAACACGCACTCGATCATCTTTGAGACTGGATGTAGGGCCCCAGCCTAAACTAGTATAAATCCTCATGTCTTTTGGATGCTACCATCGTCTTCTTGGAGCAGCACGGCAATCGCATAAGTTTTCTAGTCCGGTTTATGAAACACCGACAGTTGGCGTGCCAGGTAGGGGACAGTCGCGCACTCTCGATTGTTGAAGGAAGCGTTGGCTCCTTGCACCGCCGGTGGACTCGCTCATGGAATGGCCCATGGCGGCCACATCCGCCACAAAAAACTATGAGCCTATCGGCGCCAAAGGGCCCGTGTCCGCGTCCGCCTACAGCTACAGCTCAGACCTCCACCCTAGAAATTTGGATCCCATGGCCCATGATGGGCACACTCTCGGAACTCCCCTTGGGGGCTACATCCTAGAGTTAACCTATTTAGAGGGGCCAATACCCTCACTCATCACCGGCCGTGGCCAGGTCTCTTGTCCATGAAACCAAAGGTCCACAGCTCGCAACGAACTCACCTAGGTGAAAGCATCTAGGCCCCTAGTTGGATTTCGGTGATTGATGTCAATACAAGATTACTATGACTAACGTGTGTTTTGCAGAGGCAATTAAGTTAGGTCATGGTAATGGAGATCGATTGGGCAATTGAGGTTGTCATGCCCCTACGATGGAAATCGTTTCGGTTTTCAAAGGATGGACGACAAGGTTAAGGATAACTAGTTCTAAGTGTCAATTGAAGTTGGAGAGACACTTAGAGTAGTTTAGGACTTTGTTTTTCCTTTGGCCGTACTATGAAGGGGGGTATGAACGGGTAGCTTGACCTAGTTAAGTCTAGTGAGTTAGGTGTGGTGCACACTTGTTTAAACTAGCTCTAGGTAGCTCCTATGAATGCCTAAGATCTTTTGGAGCAAAATTCATTCACATATCTTCGGAAGTTGGAAGTGAATGGAGGGTCAAACACAAACACGGACGGACTGGCTCTCGGTCGGCCGTGACGGACCGGCCGCGCGAGGTCCGGTCCAGTTCATTTGATTGAGGTGAACAAGTCTGATGTGACCGGACGCTGGAAGGTCATGTGACCGGACGCTGAGGACCAGCGTCCGGTCGACTCCAGTAAGGGTCCAGACTTGGGAAAGAGTGACCGGACGCGTCCGGTCAGTGCTGACCGGACCCTGAGGGTTCAGCGTCCGGTCGAGTCCAGTAAGGTTCCAGTAAGGGT